AATGCCCTTGTGTCCAGGCAGGAAATCTAGGCACCCACACAAGCTTCTCTAATCAAGTGCCACCTCTTCCAGGAAGCCTGCCTTAATTTCCCCCAGTAGAAGACTCTCTCCATCCTCTCAATTCTTAGAGCATCTTCTCCATCATATTCAAGTCGCCCTGATAACACGCTGTCTTTGCTGATCTTTGAACACACGCTTTTCTTCCTTATAAGCTCACGATAGCAGATGTTTATCAAGCACTTACTACTTGCCAGGCACCATTCCCAACCTTCTGTATGAGCTGATTAATATAAATCTAGCAACAATCATATGAGGCAAATACTACGATCACCATTTTACACATGAGGAAACTGAGGCCCACGGAGGTTATGCCCCAGTCCACAAAGCCTGCTGGAGGTAGAAGCAGGTTTCTAACCCGGATGGCCTGGCTTCAGGCCCAACCCCTAAGCTCCACAGCCTCCTGGGATGGGCCACCCTTCCCCTAGGCTGGTCTGGTGCCCTGCAGGCAGAAGCGTTCAGCTCAACCGGCCGTCACTGTGTGGGGGAAGTTACTGAGTGTCGGGCAGAAGACCTTGCTTCAAATCATGCTTCTGAAGCTGAGGAGTTCAATCTCCCAGTCTGTGACAGAGCGTACGACTGTTCCCAGCGATTTGCTCCCCTGCCTTTGGACATCCCACCGATGACCCCGAGGCCTGTGGTGTTTCCCTGCTGAGGGGCTCGCTCTCCCTCAACCCCAATTAATGTTTAGCTTGGACATGTGACCTACTTTGGCCAACAGAAGGTGTGACCATGTCACATCTGAGCAGAAACTGTTATCCTTTTCCCTGAGCTACAAAAATCGTACATCCTAGGCAGGGGTGCTCCTTGGGTCCTGGGATGCAGAGGCCGTATGGAGCAGAGCCACAGACAGACAACCCGCAGCGGATCTGCCACGTGGACAGGACGGAGATCGTTACTGCAGTGTGACCTACTGAGAGTTGCGACACACTGTCTATCTGCCATGAGGACATACGCTCCTCTGTTGGAAGTCTGGAAAATGAGTCTGAAAGGCTAAGACTGGATCACAGACATCAGTCAAAATTAGACTATAGGCTCCTGGAGGGCAGATACCAAATCTCACCAGATTCTGAACCCCAGCTGAGTGACCAACTGTCCTCTTTGCCCAAGACCGTTCTGATTTTACTACTGAAAGTCTTGCATTTTGGGAAATCCCTCAGCACTGGGCAAACCCGATCAGGCAGTCACCCAAATCACAGCCTAGAGCGGTCTTTGGGACATGGTCTCATCATCCAGCAAATATCTGTCAGTTAGTTTAAGTGAAAGATATTGAAGGTCTGAGCCGGGAACGTGGAGGTCAAAACGGAGAGGAAAAGGTAGACATGAGAAACAGAGGAAAAACCAGCTAAAGCTGGAGGTGGCTTGGATGAGTAACACGACAGGGAGAGAAGAATCAAGTGACGGGGACATGGGTGGTACCACCGGTATGGACAGGAAAGAAATGAGGAGGGAATGATATGTTGGAAAAGGTGAGACAGGGCAAGGCTGAGGCTCCAACGGAACATTCAAGGGCATCTGTTCAGAAGGCTTCTAGCTCAAGGGTTCCCAAACTTGAGTGAGCAGCAGAGTCCCCTGGTGGGGGTTGGGGGGTGCTGGTTAAAGCAGCTTACTGGGCCCCATCCCCAGAGCTTCTGATGTCATAGGTCTGGGTGGAGGCCAAGAATCTGCATTTCTAACAAGTTCCCAGGTGATGCTGATGCTGTTGGTGTGGGGACCACACTTTGAGAATGATTATGAAAGATAAACAGTGGTGAGGCTCAGAGGAGGTCAGGGTTGCACACCTACAGCTGTGTGTATCAGGGTCTGATGGTGGCAGAAAAAGCAAGGAAGAAAACTGGGGTCTGAGATGGCAACAGATGCCCGTGTGCAAGTGAAAGGACCAGTGTTAACGGTGACCCCACGTTCCAAACCTTTGTGTGGTCATGTGCATAACCATCCTTTTCTCTGGCCGTTAAAAGGATTCTAAAGTTTGTTTCAAATGAAGAATAGACATTTTAAGGCGTAATTAGTGATGGGATATTGGCTCTTCAAATATGGTACCGTGAATTTATTCAAGATGGTATCATTGAGTGTAAATAAACATTATTAATGAAATTAAAGACTCTGCTTCTTACTAATTAAGCAATCCTGGCACAGGGGTTTAGCCTCTGACTTGATTTATCATTGGTTAGTTAGAAATAATCATATAACTGTAAAGCTCTAACTTAATTTTAACATGCTCATTGACTGATTTGGGCTTTTTTTTTTTGGCGGCACGCGGGCCTCTCACCGCTGTGGCCTCTCCCACTGCAGAGCACGGGCTCTGGACGCGCAGGCTCAGCAACCGTGGCTCACGGGCCCAGCCGCTCCGCGGCACGTGGGATCCTCCCGGACCCGGGCACGAACCCATGTCCCCTGCATCGGCAGGCGGACTCTCAACCACTGCGCCACCAGGGAAGCCCCATGATTTGGGCATTTTTGACGCTTCACTCTCTTACATCCTAAATCTACTCCCTGTATTGCCCATCGATTTCTCTCATATTGTTCTTTTCACCTGGAAAAACAGGAGGGGCCACATCAGCAGAGAGAAACCCTTCCCTTCCTCCAAATGCTGTTAAAGATGATCCCATAATTTTTTTTTTTTTTTGCCACACGGCATGCGGGATCTTAGTTCCCCAACCAGGGGTCATGCCCTCACCCCTTGCATTGGAAGCGCAGAGTCTTAACCACTGGACTGCCAGGGAAGTCACGTCCCATAAATTCTGGGACGCTTTGCCTGAGTAGGTAAAATTATAACTGAATCTCTTTTTTTTCAACAGTCAACCATCCTCCCCAGAAATGGAAACGAGCAAAGTAGCAAAAGATTCTCCATTCTTGCCAGCGCCCCAGAGGAAACGGCCAAAGTGGCCCACCTCCCAGACTCCAGCCCCTCTGACCATGCTGCAAATCCCTAGCGCTTCTAGGTTTCAGCTTGTGACCTACCAGCCAGCGGTGAACTCCACGTGGGCATCAAAGAAGCCGGTGACCTGGCCGGTGGCCACCTTCCAACCCTCGATGCGAGCTCGGATCAGGCCCTCTCTTTTACGGTTTCTCACCACCTTCACCAGCCCAGGGTAGCGTTTGTGGACATACTCCTCCAAAGGGGCCTTCAGCTCCTCTACAAAAGACAAAAGACAGGAAGGTCCGTAAACATGTCAAATGTGCATCCAACCCACTGTGAGGCCGACAGATCTTCAGTTAGTACAGAGATTGCAGAAAATCTTGCAAGTTAGTCATTTTAGTAGAAAAGTCAACTTGGTCCCAGTGATTCAGGAGACATCTCTGACTGATGTCCTTTGGGATTTCTTTCTGACCCTCCCTCCTTCCTTGGCCAGCATTCCTGTGCCCCCACTGTCCCCTGGGTCTCGTTTATCAACTTTATATGGGTTTTTCCATCTGTACATACGCTGGTTCTCACAGAATGTGTTCTGGGAGGTCCAGACCCAGAGTCACACCCTAGATGCAACATTAACAGGGTTTGTGCTTTGGTCACAGGATGTGAAAGAAATCTTTGCTCAGCAGTAGAAATGCTACGGTGATGGTGAAAGGAAGGCCATCAGGGATTGAACACTCCCTCCTGCCACCAGCAGGTGGTACAAAGTGCGTGATCTATATGATCTAATTTAATCCTTACAGCCACCCTAGGTGCTTGCTAGATTAATCCCATTAATTAACTCGATGAATTCCACGCTGCAAATTAAGAACAGTCTTAGGGAGACTAACCTGTCCCAAGGTCACAACTTAGGAACAGAAGAGCTGAAACATGGGTCACATGTGTCTAATTCCACAGACGTAAAGGGATACCTTTGTGTACTTGAGAATCACTGTCTCATCACAAGGAAAAAAACATTATTTTTAATTTTTGTTTTTTTATATCTATATGAGATGAGGATATTAACTAAACTGATTGTGGTAATCACTTCACAGTACAGGTCAGTCAATCATTATGCTGCACCCCCTAAACTTAGGCAGTGCTGTGTGTCAATTATATCTCAGTAAAAATGGGGGAAAGTCAGCAGGTGTCAAAGGATGGACAGGGAAGGGTTGACAGAGAGGGGATTCTGAGATATGCACACTCCAACGATGCGCCCTTGGAGAGCCTCAGGGGTCCAGAAGCAGCCCAGCTGACTCAGATGTGAGTGGTCCACAGACAATACTTTTGGAGACGTCGTCACCTCTGACCTTGCTCTAGACAAACCCACAAGGCTGTATTTACAGACATTGTGCAGACCCCTCACTTCCTAGTTATACACAGCAATGTTTGGCAAATTAAAGCCCTATATTTGCAGCACACGTAGAGGCTGCCCTCTCTAGGTCATGGCTGTTGTCCCTGGGAACGATGCAGCCACGTGACCCAGGAACAAGTACAGAAAATGGGGGGTCTAGATGGATGGGAGTGAAAGAGGCCCCAAGGGTACAGAGACATGACATAGTTCCTGTCAGCTAAAGGCATGGATGGTGGGGGAACAGGAGTGTTATGGGCTGAATTGTGTACCCCCCTCCAAATTCATCTGTTAAAGCCCTAATACCCAGTAACTCATCTGTTAAAGCCCTAATACCCAGTAACTCAGAATGTGACCATATTTGGACATAGGGCCTTTAAAAGAGATGATTAAGTTAAAATGAGGTCCTTAGGATAGGTCTTAATCCAATCTGAGCAGTATCCTTAAGAAGAGATTTGAACACACGCACAGCCCCCGGGAGCACGCACACAGAGGAAGGACCATACGAGGACACAGGGAGATGGTGGCAGACTGCAAACCAAGAACAGAGGCCTCAGGAAAAACCAACCCTGCCAACACCTTGATCTTGGACTTCCAGCCTCCCGAAAAGTGAGAAAATAAATTTTGTTGTTTAAGTCACCCAGTGTGGTACTTTGCTATAGCAGCCCTAGCAAACTAATACAGGGAGAAGTTAGTTTGGAAAGGAGAAAAAAATAGAACCTGGGTGGAGAAGGGGCAGAAACTCTAAGGAGGCACAAGGTGGTTGGGTGTTCAGACTGGACTCAGACTGCCTTGGGTTCAGAACTCTGTGCTACCTTTTACTACCTGAGTGACCCTGGGCAATTTAGCCAGTCAATGTGTGCCTCAGTTCCCTCATCTACCGAAGGGGGATGATAATACAGTCATCCCTCAGTATTTGCAGGTTCCAGGACCCCCAGGGATACCAAATCCACAGATGCTCAAGTCCCTTACAGTTGGTCATCTGTACCTGCAGGCTTCACATCCAGGGATACTGAGGGCTGACAGCAATAGTATGGACACCACAGGGTTGTGGTGAGGATTACAGATGTTAATAAATTCAAGAACGCTCAGAATTATCCCTGGCACAGTGTAAATGCTCAACATGGAGTAGCTGATATTAGTAATTATTTTCCCTCTTTCCC